ATGTTGGAAGATCTTTATACTTGCATTCAAGTTAATAAACGTTGGTGTGAAACTGCTATGCCAATTCTCTGGTCAAATATCATCCCGTCAGCAAGTGTTATCAACGTATATATGTCCTTCTTTACTCCCGATGAACGAAATGAATTAATATCCAAAGGAATTCCATTTCAAAAAATTTCCACAAAACCATCTTTAACCTTTTGTTATCCATCATTCCTTCGAGTTCTTAATTTACATGAATTTTCTTCTGCAATATTTCATTGGTGTCTTCAGGAATGTCGTCAACCAATTTCTGCTCAATATAATGTTTTGTTACGTGGGTTACTCATAATTCTTGCGAGACATTGTAAAACTTTACAACAGCTCCACCTAGATCGTCGTTTGTTGCTAGATAATATGCATCATGAATTGTGGCTTTTGTTACATGAAATAACAACTCGAAATTTGATCTCTTCGGTTAGAAAGCTTTGCCTTGATGTCAGAAAAATTATTAACGAAGAATGTTTAAAATTATTGTGCGAGTCTTGTAGACATTTAGTGAGTTACAATACTCTATTTATTATCTTAAATTAATTCGTGCTTTCGTGCTTTTTCATCAATAAAGCTCATTAAACTGTCATTTCATCATAAATCTTAAAGCGAATTCTTAAAGTTGACATGACGTTAGTGGAACCTTTTTGGAGTTGGGATTCACGAATTGCACAACTAGTATCTTCTCAAAAATATCTAAGTTCCTTTATAATGAAACGAGGCAAATGTACGGATGCATTGATTTCTGCATTGGAATTGCACGCAGATTCTCTGCGACTTATCCATTTTCGTAGGGTGGATTTTTCAAAATGTACTTCAATTGGCACTTTTAAATCAAATTGTAAAAACTTGGAAGTATTAATAATCCATGGCTGTAAATATTTGTCAGGGAATGTGCGCGAAGAACTGATTCACGCATCATTTCCTAAATTGGTTGAACTTGATGTTAACGGGACTGATTTTGATGGAACAATGGCTTCATGGAATAATTGTGTGGGTAAACGTAATGAACACCAAGAATTAAAATTCTACTGATGGGGTGGTAAGTGGTTTGCCTTTTAGAGAATTCATCTAGATTTAGTATATCTTAGAGTTTACTCGATTTTTTTTAAAAAATTAGCTTTTTTAAGGATTGGCAATCCAAAGTTTATTTGTAATAGTCTCGCAAGAAATGCTAGTAACCTTAAATCAACAGGTTAATTCTTACATCTCTTTCCGACATATTACAAATATCTTTGGCTATCTCTGTTTAGATCTCTTCATTCGTTAACAAGAACACGAAGAGTTCACATATTTATAGGTATTTTCGTTTCACAATATTTTGTAGCGGAATAATATTCGATTATTTATATTCATGCTAGTTTGAAAAAGTACATTTAATGGATTCCGTTTTTTACAATTTTAATTTCTCATTCTATGGACGCCGTATCGTTCCATAAGCATCTCTGAAATTAAGCGTCAAAAATCATATTGTGTCTCTCGTTTCTTTGTTTTTCCTGTTTTCATATCAATAGATTTTAATACATTTTTTTTCGATCCTTTTTTCTTAGAAATATATAAGACCCGGTTCTCTTACATTCCACCAATTTTAACCCTTATATAGATACTCCGGTATAGTATCTGGTTGAAAGTTTATGGCATTAAAAATTTTAAAGAGCGTATGTTTTGCATTTGTAACGGCAATTTAGATGGTACATCGTGGGTCTACTACTGCGGGTCTTGTATGTGACAGTTTACAGTATTATAGACTACTGACTAGCGTATCCGGACATTTTGATGGGGTACATTGTTATAAAGTCAAAATTTTATACTCTTAATTTGTCGCCGGGTATATTTTATTGTAATTACTAACATCTGTAATTTTAACTAGTAGATAGCAAAAAATAAATTGTACAAAAACAACTAAAAAAAGCCACTTTATTTATAAAATTAAGTTGATATTAATATACTTTTATTTTTTTTACAAATCCAAAAGTTAAAAAATAGTAATTGACACTGATCATAAAAAAGATTACGCTAAAAATTCTATAAAAATCTTTTACCAGTTCAAACTATAATAAATTGTAATATAATTAGTAAATAGAACTCTTAAACTTTTAAAAAAAGTAGTATAACTTTTGGATCAACAATAGTATAAAGGACTATAAACAATGGCCCTAAATAAATAACACAATCATTTATTATATATTTTTCATTGTAAAAATTTCGTAAAGTCGATATAAAAGTTCGATATTAATAAATATTAAAGATATAATTTGATCTCAATATTATTTTGTTAATTATCAATTTATCTGCATAATGAATATAAAACTTATGTAAATTACGCGCATTTCACTTATTATGTAACATATGTGCGCAAAGTGTATATATTGTCCATCCTTAAGGTGAAAAAATTTTTTTAATGTGCGCACAGCCTCTTCCGCACACTAAATTTCGTGCATAATTATACAATATATGAATAGAAAAGGTAATAAAGCGGTTTTGTAAAGTACTGCTATGTTACAAAGAACATATATATAGATTTTTTTAGAGAAAGCTAAATGATAATTCAATCAATAACAAGTTTGTCAAACTATGCAATATTGCATTAAAAGGATAAACGAGGAATGGGTCGTGAATGGAATACAGTCAAATCTCGCTAAAGTAATTCTTGATACGGTCTCGTCATAATCATGCATCAGTTATGATAAAAAATAAAATTTGACTTTCATATGGTTACAACTCCTTATAATCACCGGAATTTTGTTCTCCAACCCAGTGATAATATCAAGGTCATACTGTAAGAAGTTGAAGATATGAAGTAGGTTCTGTTTTATGGGTATAAGAATGTCCTACATTGGATTGGGAATCTCCGACCCTTTTCTCAAAACTTGAAAGGCTTCATAATCTTCAACTTCAAAATCATCTCTTGTATTTCTAATTGGATTTTCGTAAGAAGTTTGTATGCAACAACAACGACATGTAGGGTCAAACTTCATTTTAAGATCACCACCACCAAAATCTATACCTCTGTGTTCAGTGTAAGGAGAATAATTGATCGCATAAGTTGCATTTCGGACATTACTAAGAATAGATTCACGTATGCTGCCATTTTTCAACGAAAATATGAAACTGGCATTTGTTTCTACAAAACCGAACATCCGAGAATTTGGTTTGTACCATGATAAAGGATTAAAACCACCTACAATCTCATCTGTTCCCTTAATTTTTATGATGACTATCGTTTTGGGTATTTCTTTGCACAATGAATAGAACCTTTTAGCAGAAAATCCATGATGGCTGGCACGAAATATTAAGTTAAATTCATAAGGATTGTTGTTCACATTATATGGAGAGGAGCGTTTATCAATCCAGGAAGCAATTTCTGCAGTATGTTCTTCAGTGATTATGTTCGATGATAGATGAATTGGATTAATTTGGGGAACAGGAGAAGTTGGACTTCTAGGACTATCTGATGAATAAAATAAAAGCGAAGATATTTTTAGTGATGGCTGTATTGATACATTCCAACTGATTAATAATCATAATATTTATATAGAAATACCTGGATCAGACAATCGTCGGACTATGTCATCCCAAATCTCTGGTTCCAGAATTCGATGATAAGGTTGAACCTTATCAAAAACATCATCAATAGAAAATTGATAATACCTAATATGTATTAAACATTCAGATAAAATAGCCTTTAATGCTTCAAAGCATTCATCAGTCCACGTTTCGGGCTTTGATGTTTGTGCAATTTGAGCGATTCCCCATTGGATAAGGTAATCCCAAATTTTTCCCTCACTCATTTTTAAATGTAATTCATCATTCCCGATAAGATTAATTAATGCTTTCTCAGGAAACAACGCAAAGTCATTAGATTTGAATACTAAATCTGGATATTTTACAGCAATATCCGCACACATAGTTTGCAAGTCAGTTAAAGTATCTTTTTGATGGCAGATATTGTAAAGCCTTATAAAAGTTGAAGCAGCCAAGTGATGCTTAATGACATACTGTCCAAGAAATATGGATAGCTCATCAAGGCAAAATTTATTTGAAATTTCCAATAGATCCAGAAGAGTTGATGAGTTTAGGTTATCAACGGAAATAAAACCACCGTATATGTATCTAGTCGTATTTATTTTTTTAACAAAAATTCATACTTTTTACAGATATTGATATAAGATGAAAATATAAAAGACTCACCTAATAATAATATCAAAATGATAAGCAGAAACATTCTTTTGACTAAAGCATTTAGTGTTGCTAATATTTGCGGTAGTTCTTCTTAATTTGTCACGAAAATAAGTTGAACGCTGAGATAAAATGGCTGAATGAGCTTTAAATACTCGGTAATTTGGCCTCTGACCGACCTCAATGATAACATTGTAATCTTCGTCGTCGTGTAGAAGCTGTGTAAAATCCCGAGACAAAGTTTCGAAAAATTTAACAACCATTTTAACAAATGATGTATCTGCTTCGTTAATACATACGTGCGGACCATCCGATACAAATACTCTATAAATACGGATAATTGACATCCACAAATGACATGGTCATTTAAGGTAATCACACCTACCGATTTAAGATGGGCATTTAACTTACGTATCGGTATGATACGCCATCAAAAGGATTACTGTAAAAACTACCTTAAAGGCAGCTCTTGACTAATACAGAAACGGAAGTTTAGTCACGTTCAATGAAAAGCTAAATGACTTGTGATCTTAATAAGAAAAAAAAAAATATATTGATAGCATTATAGGGGTAAAAAAACAATGAAATCAAATGCACCATACCGCAGTCACATTTAAGTTTTGTATTGATCACAATCATTATAATTTTACTTTTAAAGGTTATATTGTCACGATCGATAGATACGTATAATATTTGATCTAAGATATTGTATATACATTACAGCGTTGTACAGTACATCCTTTTTAACTCTCCATCAATGTTACAAGCCACATAGTTTTAGCCGGCTGGCTAAGCCAGCCGGCTAAAATATAGGCCAATTAGAAACTGTGATGATCATACGAAATTTAATCGCCTAAAATTTTTCTTAATCGTTTTAATATTAATCGTTTAACCGTTTAATTTGGCCGGCATTAAAATGATTCCAGCTCACGACCTACATAATTCCGCCCGGAACTATGGAGCAATTTTTAAACGGTTAAACGGTTCCAATCCCTAAATTCAACTAACTTGCATATATTCGACCAATCAAAATTGATCACAAGTCGGCACAAGTTTAACGAAGTTTTTCTTGACAAAAAAAAATTTATTTTAATTTCGCACATTCTAGAATAATATAAAAAAATTTCATTGAATTTTGTCGCCCAGTTCTAAAAAAAAATTTAAAAATCGGTTAATTTATTAATAGACGGACTGATTTTCTTTAAGCGAAGTTTTCTCGATAACCACCAAACCAAACTCGATGATAATATTTTTATTTCAATTATACATATTCGTAGAATTCAAATTAAAAAAAAAAAATTCACCGAATTTGGTCAGGTGGTTGTCAAGACTCGAAGTTTTAAATTTTTGGTGACAAACAGGACAGAATTTTCTAAGTGTTGGCGAAATTTCCGACAATCACTTGACAAAAAATCTTTTATTTTAATCTGCACATTTGCAAGATTAAAATGAAAAAATTTTCGCAATTTTAGTTAAAAAAAAAAATATCTGCCTGCATATCAAAGTAATTGCTTTTAAATTTTTAAACTGTGCAAAATTTTCTTGACATATAACTGACCAACTTCTTTATTTTAGCTTTATAATTGAAATGAATTTCTTTATCAAATTTGGTTTGGTGGTTATTGAGAAAACTTTGCTTAAAATTTAGAAAAACTTATAATTATTTTGTTGAAAATTTTCATAATGATAATATAGATGATCTACTACTGAAGTTTTCTCATAATAGTACATGGAAGGAAAGAGAGGAGGTGCTAGCAGAGCCTTCGATGCAGAGTTTGCAGAAGGTCAAAGTGAAGGTACATACATAACAGATGTAATAATGCCCCTTATTCAGAGTGCACTAAAAAAACTTTTGA